AGTGTGGGATGTGGGCCTTCACTGCTCTTCTCTTACAAACTCAGTGCTTGAATCCCAGTGATTGACTGTTATTGTGCCAGGCCCTCCTAGCATGACATTTACATGGCACTTTCTAAATGCGATTGATGCTTTCTCTGCTCTGGGCAGCTTATTCTCTGTGCAAGAGCAGGTGCTTTCCAGCCTGTCCTCAGACGCAGTGCAGAGTCCAGGCTAGCTGCCCTGTTGGGGCTTGAGTTATTATGAACACATCAACAAAGTTGAGCTTGAACCTTCTCCCAGGTTTGGCTGCGCCTACATGTCATCTTTCCAGGCTGTTCAGCCCACGCACTAACTCTCCTCTCCATTCCCATCTCCCTTCCATCCAGGTGTGATAATGCCTGTGTCTGCACTTACCATTTCCAGCAGAGTGATCTCCTAGAAGGGCTTACTTCAGATTAACAGGGCAGCTTATTACCGTGCTAGACAAATGCAAGATGAGATTGGAAAGCAGCTCAGGTGATGGAAGACATATGATTTACTGATTGATTGAAGGTACCAGTGAGAGGCAGAGGTGAAACTAAGGTGCTGTGCCACTCCAGCAAGGGCTGGCGGGGCACTCTGCTGTAGGCACACGTGGTGCGGTTTGTGCTGCGCTCTCCTAGCTGGGCTCCTGGCACTCCTGCTATGGGCTGGCGCTGCTGTCCCCATGCACCCAGCCAGGTGAGGCAGGCTGGCATGAAAGGGACCACTGGAAGGCACACTGGAGGGGAGGTGGATGTGATCCAAACCAGGGTCCTGGGTCGTCTGCACCTGTCCTGCTGCCCCTCTCGCTGGACGCCAGGCAGCGCACATGCAGTCTGTGATTCCCAGCAGCCAGCGGAAGAGAGCATGCCAGGAGTTCTCTCATACCACCACTGGTTTCCCTGCAGCAGTGCCCCCACACAGCTGGCCTCCAGCTCCCTTAGCAGTGCACAAGAACAGTGGGGTGGGCAGGGACCTCTTCACCAGCCAGGTAAAGTAACCCAGGATTGATCAGGGCTGCTTCAGACTTGCCCCCTGCACACACACATTAGTCCCCTGCCCTGAGCCTCCCCACACACCCCCAGCCACTTGCCCTGACTCCTGCACCCCCGTGTTCCCAGCTCCCTGATCTGACTCCTGTGACTTCCAAACACACCCTAGTCCTCAGCCCTCTCCACCCTCCCCAGGGGAAGTTGTGGTAGGACAACACCCGTAAGAAATTCAAGTTGCTTTCACACCTGGTAAGAGGGATTTCTCAAAGGGGTGGGTTTAACCAGGGATTAGAATGGGAATGACAGTGCTTGTGAGGGAAACACATGGGGATTGTTCCACATGTAGAGGAATCAAGATGAAAGGTGCGCAGCTGAGAGAGGGAGAAGTGAGCCAAAAGTACTGGGAAGAATGTAAATAGTGAGAGAAGTACTGGGGGCAGGAACACTGACCAGGGGACAGGATTATGTGCAGCCTTGCATGTGAGAGGGGAGCTTGAATTTGATGTAGTCAGGGCTAAAAAAAAAAAAACACTGGGTCAAGACGGAGGAAGATGGCTTCTGTTTCATTTCTCTGCAGTTGAGGTAAGCACAAACAAATGCCAGAGAGGTTCAAAATGCTGTCCTAAGATTTAGCCAAATGAAAACCATTTTCTATTCCTATCAGTAACCCTTGAGTCTCTAACACAAAGTGATACACAGGGCACAATAGAGGGATCTCCTAATAGGATGTTTATGGTGCTTACTCCTGATGAATGGCTTGTTTTTACAGGCAGGCAGTGTTCAAGAGAAAGGCAAACTCCAGTAACATAAAGGGGGTTGAGAATGCAAACAAATATTACACACCAACCTAAAGATTTTTACAGTCCTAATAACACAGACACACTCTTTGAACTCTTTCGAGAGAAATATTTGCTGTCGATCCATTTAGAGGGACTATTCCGGATTGCCTGTAAATGAGCAGCTTGCTTTTCAAATGCCACAGACATCTGCATGCTATAGAACTGCCATTTGGTATATATCATATGATAGAAAGCATCCCAGAGCTTTAAAAAAAATTGCATGCTAGAGTCATGAATCAAATTCAGTCATGTGACTAAGGGGAGGTGCTGAGCTGGCTTCTAGCCAGTGGCAGAAGCTGATGGGTGGAACAAACAGGGCATGAAAAGACTAATAGGACTAACGGATCTTAGAATTGTGGTACCCTTATTTGGATCTTCAGGAATGTAGGCTTTAGCAATTCTGCAGCTCTACCAGCCTTTGCCTCACACTGGAACTGTTTCTGACAAAGTAGTATCCTGCTGCTTTGTGGTAGGAAGGATAGAAAAAGAACATGGCCTGCATTTTGAAGGTAAATCTCTATCTGTTGCTTGAATGCATTGTTAAAAGGAGCCCCTTGCTGCTCTGAAGCACGGATCCAATGTGGTCCTATTGCATCTTAATCTTAGCTGTCTCTTTGGGTATTGTTTTGTTTGGCAAATAGATCCGGAGCGATTCTGAAATGCACAGCTGTGTTCTGCTTCCCTGCTCTGCCATTCTTTTCCTTGCTTCCTGCATTGTCAGAACTGCAGGCTATCAGCTAGTGGAAAAGGGACTGTGCAGAATAATAGGAAGGCAGGAAGCGGGTGCAGGGCTCTGTCTTGTCTTTAGTTAACTTGGTGTGAGCTGAAATCCTTCAGGAGCTATAGCATTAGGGAAACAGACTTACAATACAAAGGACAATAAAACAGGAAAGTGGTTTTCTTTCCTCAACAAACAACACTTACTGCTTTAAAGAGGTTTCAGGGTTACAAAAGCTGCACCAAGTTGCTCCTTAACACACTCCCCTTCTGAATTTACATAAGAGCCATATGGTACTACATTTTAGAGTCAATTGTGTGGGTCGCTATTTTAAGGATTTTCCCTTTTATGCCAACAAATATGAACAGAAACCTATCTTGCACTAACATCTTTCTGTCAGACACCTTCTTCCCAGCTGCTTTATTTTCTAAGAGAAAAGTATTCCCAAACAACATATTTTATATGTGGTAGCATCACTGTAGCTCTACAGAAGAAATGAATCCGAGGAAAGGAGGCAGAAGCGCAAGCTGTTTTAAAAACAATGAATCTTTGTTTCATTACATTATTTTCACCAGTGTCAAGTCACTATCAAAATGTTTTTTATTCTATGGTTTAAAGATAAGTAAGTTGATCTAATTCATCTGCAGTTTGTTTTCATACCTGTATTTTAAACACATGCACGGCACAATTCAACAAAGTGAATAAAATGGCATGCTGACTTATCTATGAATAATCTCTTATTTTCAGTTTCATTAGTCCTCTATCAAGGAATTGCCATTCTAAGCTTTGGGACAGGCTGATGGAGTAGCTTTCTGTAAAATATCTGCAAAGTCGCTGAACTGCAAAGCTTGGCAATATTTTCTGAATAATAGCTATCCTTGTTTCACCAAGAACTACGTTCTGATGATTTTGTTTATTTTCACTTGAACTTTTTACTTTAAAAACCAAACGAACCCCTGATTTTTTTTCTCTCCTCTCCTTCCCCCCTCCCCCATATCGCAGAGCCTCTGTAAAATAGTACATACATATGTCTCAGTTTGCTTTCTTGCACGTGTAGCTTGTTTCAGTTTTTATCGGTAAATATATTGAAAGCTGCCTCAGGTGCAGAAATCTCACTGAACTATCTTCTGCTTGAAGTGTCCCAGTAATGAACTCCCATGAACGCCAGACAAGTGATTTGATAAATTAAGTGCTGGGACTTGAAATATAAGCTCTTGCAGTTGGGCCTGGGTTCAGAGAGATAGAAGTCTGTATCTACCACCCATCCAAAAATATGATAATAGATGCATATTTTAGATTACTAGCTTCTCTACTTTTTCTTACTACCAGGAAAGTTCTTTTGCAGAAATGAATAAGCAAAACCATTTGCAGGACGAGTCAAACGTCTTTTGCCCTGGGAGGCAGCATTATTTCCCTTCTGCAGAGTTTAGCTGTACACCTCTGAGCTCTGCATGGTCCTTTTTTAGATTGTATGTTATCATGTAATCCTGCTTTTTCAAAATCTTTGGGTTCCATTGGACTCTCATCCTTTGAATCAGTGGGTACCATACAATGGCTAATGCTCTTTGAGACAGCTGGCATAATTCTTAATCTTGTTAAAAGAGCCAGGTGTGGGACGAAAAGTGAAAGAGATATGTGGAGATTAGGATTGCGGTAAAGCAGGCATGACTTTTCCAGCCAGACAAGATACATCAATAATCTAAATGCTCAGACAGATAAACAATTCATTATTCACATCAAAATACAGGTTTTTCATTCAGCCTCCACACCATAAACACTTGCTTTATCCTATGGGTAGGACTTTTGTTTCTTTCAGACCTAGCATAAAAGGAAAGCAGCAGACACCATAAAGGGACTTCAGAAATTTTCTGAAATTCTGAACATGATGATGAAACTCAGGGTATACACCAAACTTGTGAGCTGTACTCAGCTGTGTCCCTTTCCTGAAACTACAAACTTGTTAGCTAGAAACCTGTCCTGCTCCCATTTGTACGCAGCCTTTTTGATTTTCATCTTTTAGATCCATTGTAGTCTGTATTCCTGTATGAGTGGAAGATGGAGAACTGCTTGTTCTATGGGGATGGATTTTCAAAGAGAGATAGACCAGCAGAACTACGTGGACTGGGAGTCAGGATGCCTGTGTGTTTATATTAGCTGTGCTACAGATTGTGACTTTAAGCAACCAACTCAAGTAACGGTCTGCCTCTGTTAATAGGAAGTCAGGAGTAATACCTGCCTCATAAGGGTGCGGAGGTTTGGTTGCTGTCTGTAGAGTGAGTTGGGGTCCTCTGATCCAAATTACTGTGTAAGCACAAAGGACAGTGGTGACTATTAAAAACTGGCCAGTTTCATACACATTAAAAACAACCTGTCCTCCCCTTTTACTATCTGTATTATAGGAAATACTTTGATAACCTCAATATTTGTAGCATGCAAAGTGGAAATACTTACCGAGTGGCCACCATTTTGTTACGTCTTTGTCTGTCCCATCACACCAGTCAAGAACTGGTGGGTTGCCTCTGCTGCGGGTTTCTGAAACTTTATCTTCAGATCAGTGCTGGGACATTCTATCTCAGTTGAAAGGGAAACACTAGCTCCGTCTAGTGATCTGCCAGAGTGCATAATTACTCAATGGTAAGGCATAGCACAAGGGATGTTTGTTTTGTTAAAACTGCTGGCTGACCCACAGTTCACTCCTCTAGTCTATCATGGACACAACCAGCTTATCTTGTGTTTAATTGCTGGCTCCCACATGTTAAAGCAGTGAACACAGAGTAAGTTGAATGGCTGACATTTAAAAAAGTTTCCTTTTATCACTGGTGAAGTCTGAGAAACCAGAGCATCTGACTCCACTGTTGGTAAATGTTGATTTTTAATGGTGGGGACTGTAACAAATCAAGTCAACAGACACGCACCAATTTCTGTTCACTTTGAGAATAGTCATCCTATGTGTCTACCTTGCACTGGAAAGTGCTGCAAGAATAACTATGCAAATGTCTGCTATAGTCTGTTTATCTTCTGTATTGACATCACCTGTGGAGGATGTTGCATTGTAATATTTTAAAGCAAGTTAAGAAATAACTTAATGTGAACATTACCCTTTAACATGCCTAAGAGTAGGTAGAATTGTTCGGAGGTGATTTTTTTATGGATTATGCCATTCTTCTCCCCACACTGTCTTTTCATTGGCGATATTTTTGTCTTCCTTGCACAATTTTTTTTTTTTTTTTTTTTGCATGGGGCTGATAGGCCCAGCATATCTGGGATATAGCTTTATAACAAATTCTAGCCTATGACCTGCTCTGGCCCTGGACAATGATGCAGCAAGGAGGATCTTCATCAACGATTTACATAATGCATTTACATTTACAAAGTTTGCAGATGATAACCAAGCTAGGAGGGCCTCTGGGTTAAGCATTTATAAAAGTATTTGCATTTTCTGAGGACATCACTTCTTATATTCCACCTTTGCACCATGTAGAAGAGGTATCCTTTCACAAGCTATGCAGGCAGGCTAAGCAGATGCTGAGCTAGGATTACTGGGGTAGACAGCTCTGTCGATGGGAGGGCATCTCCTGCTGACACAGCTCCCACTACTTGAGAAGGGAGAGTACTTGTGCCAATGGGAGCAACTCTCCCAGGTGGCATAGTAGTGTCTTCACTAAGTCCACTACAGAGGTGCTGCTGCAGTGTCTTCAGTGCTTTGCTGGATCAGAGCCATAACTAGGTCCTGCAGCCAAGTTCTTCTGTCACCGCTGCTCCCTCAATCTGTTTGGTTAAACCCCAAGGCTGAATCTCCTCTTCATCTTTGTGCCCCAGATGTTCTCTTACCACGTGCGTAGTGCCGTCTGGGGCCTCGAGAGCCTGTTGTAATGTAAACAATGCTAATATCTGCAGGCAAATGCCAGGTCTGTATTTGGGGCTAAAAGAACAAAGCTGAGCTCAGTTTACTGAACTGCCCAGCTTGGTAGAAGCTTGTTTACGAGGGGGGGGGTAGCGGGTAGCGGGGGGCGGGGAGAAGGTTGAAGGTCTTCAAAGGAAGTCAGTCCTGATGTCTTTGCCATGTGGGTGATATGACACTACCCATCTAACTAGATTGTCCTCCCATGAAACAGACTTAGCAAGGGGCCTGATTGTCCCTCCCATAGTACAGATTCAGCAAGGGTCTCAGTTATTTCCTCCCAAACTTCTTCATTGGCTGAGCGTGGTGCTTGTTTTTACCACCCCATTCCCACTTTGCAGAACAGGCCATGAACTCCAGCTCCTGGGGATCTTGTTGGGCGGTTCATGTAGAAAACCTATGAATCCATATTGATCCTGGGTCCCAGGCATGACACTGGCAGCTGTCTTTGTCAAGGCAGGGGATTGGGACTTCCCACAGAACCCGTTCTGTTATGTGAAAAGCCTTACCGCCCATCTTGGCCGTCTCACCACCTGCTTCTTCCTTCAGGTGGTGCTTCAACCCACGGAGAGCACTCTGTGTGTCCTGAGGGAATGGAACATGGCAGGGCTGGTGGCCTCCTTCCATATGAAGGGAGCCCTCTGCACAGAGGATTCTCAGTAAGCTCTCTTCCCTCCCATTTAATTTAGTGCACAATTCTCCCCAGCCATTTGTCCGAAAACCAAGTGTAGCTTGGCAGGCTGCTGTACTTCAGTGGTGGACGAAGCCATTCCCACATAAGGTTACATCTTTTGGGATGTGAAACATGCTACACAAGTGTAAGGGACCAGTACTCTGAGTGTCCAGGAGTTATAGCTGCCATTTTCCACACTTGATGGGGTCAGTAAAGGTATGTCTACATAGCGGCACTATTTCAGGATATTTCCAGTATCCTTAAAGAACTTTTCTGCATCTTTTGAGCAAGCCTGTTATTTCAAAATATAACAGGCTCGCTATTCCGACATTCTTGTGCAAGGGACTTGTCAGAATAGTGATCTATTTAGAAATTTGGCTCTGTCAACATTTTTTGAAATAGACTCAAAATAAGGTACATAATTTGTGTAGCTCAAATTGCGTAGCTTATTTTGAGCTAGTGCCGCAGCATAGCTGCACCCTAAGACTCCTTTTAATTTATACATTTTATTATGAAATGCTGAATGGACAGAAGAAATCATCATGTGAGCAAAATATAGGAGGAATTTGTACCTCTGAGTTATCATGGAAATGTAGGTCTGGAATAATTATAATAATAATAATTAGGAAGGGCAACATACAAAAACCTGTAGGGGAACACTTCAGTCTCCCTGGACACACAATTGCAGATCTAAAGGTAGCCATCCTGCAGCAAAACACTTCAGGACCAAACATCAAAGAGAAACTGCTGAGCTACAGTTTATCTTCCAGTTTGACACAATCAACTCAGGATTAAACAAAGACTGTGAATGGCTCGCTAACTACAAAAGCAGCTTCTCCCCTCTTGGAATTCACACCTCCAGATCAGCTACTAGAAGTGGGCCCCATCCTCCCTAATTGGATCCACCTTGTCATCTCCAGCCTGATTCTGGCCTGCATATTTATACCTGCCTCTGGAAATTTCCACTACATGTATATGACGCAGTGGGTCTTTGCCCACAAAAGCTTATGCTCCTACACTTCAGTTAGTCTATAAGGTGCCACAGGACTCCTCGCCGCTAGATCTGGAAGGGATCTAGAGAGGTCACCCAGAGGCTTCCTACTAGTCTGCCACTTATCTCCTCCTGAAGAATTGTATTCTTGATGTATAATACCGCACCTCCTTCCTTCTCTGCCACCCCCCCCCCGTCATTCCTGAATAAACTACATCCCTCCATACCAACATTCCAGGCATGAGATTTATCCCATCAGACCTCTGTGATGTCAAATAAATAATAATTTATCTTTTGTACGAATATCTTCCAGTTCTTCCTGTTTATTCCCCATACTCCTTGCATTTGTTTATGGTCATTTAAGATGTTGAGCAGACTCTACTACTGATTTTGCTCTTGTTGCTCTTATGACCCTGTTGTGATGGCTCCCTCCCCTCCCCTCATACCTTCCAACCTCCAGCCATTTAGCCCTCTCTTAAGCATAGTAAAGGCAAGTTTATCTGCGGACTTTTTGACCTGCCCACTTTGAAATTAATGTACGGCCCTCCTCGCTGGGTTGGCAAGTTGGTGTGTGAAGATGTTCTTCCTTCTTCTTTGTCTGGAGGATCCCATCTCTTTGCTGCAGACCTCCTTATCCATGGTCAAGGAAGTCAAAGCCCTCCTGTCAACATTACTCATGTAGCCATGCATTCATCTCCAGGATGCACATCCCTGTCTTCGCCTTACTCTCAACTGAGAGAATGGATGGGAGCAAAACTTCCCTTATTCCCAACTTCTTCACCTTCTCTCCCACAGCATCACTGCTGATCTGCTTTGGGTCATCACTGCTTATGTGGATGAGGAGCATGGGATTGTGGTTAGAAGGACGGATGAGCCTTTGTAACCATTCTTGAATAAGTTAAACTGGTATAAGCTCCGTTTACACCAGTAAGCCTACATCTAGAGCCCTGAAAATCTACAGATATCTGTGGCTCACTTTTGTGAATGTGGATACAAAATTTTGTATCTGTGCAGAGCTCTACCCACATCCACCCTATGAGCTGTAATGGCATAACTGTTTTGATAAAATAATTACAGCCCTAATCAAAATAGTTACACCATTGCAAAATCTGTGTGGAGACCAGGTGTATTTATATTCAAAATGTTGATAACTATTTTGCCAGAGCTCACGCTAGCAAAAGCCTCTGGCAAACATGCTTATTTTCAGAGTTCTCCAACTGTCCTAAATGAAAACAAGCTATTGAGTCATCCCTAGGGCTACTCTTAGAGGAGAAAGAGGAAAGTAGAGGCAGAGAGAGAATCCAAGAACAAGCAAAGTTCAGGAGGAAACAAAATGGCAGATGAATTTTAATGTTGGGCAAAGTAATGCATATTGGAAAACAGAATCACAACTATATGTATAAAATGACTGAGATTACATTAGCTGTTGCTACTCAAGAGAGAGATCTTGGAGTCGTTGTGGCTAGTTCTCTGAAAACATCCACTCAATGTGCAGCAGCAGTCCAAACAGAAAACAGAATGTTAGGAATCCTCTTATTGCCTCTATTAAACTGGTACATCTACATCTTGATTTCTGTTTTCAGATGTGGTCACCTCATCTCAAAAAAGTTATATTGGAATTGGAAAAAGTTCATAAAAGGGCAACAGAAATGATTAGGGATATGGAACAGCTGCAATATGAAGAGAGATTAATAAGACTGGGACTTCTCAACTCAGAAAAGAGAAGACTATGGGGAATATGATAAAGTTCTATAAATTCATGACTGGTGTGGAGAAAGTGAATGAAAAAGAGTGTATTTACTCTATCACATACCACAAAATCTAGGGATCACCAAATGAAAGTAATAGGTACCAGGTTTAAAACCAACAAAAGGAAATATTCACACAGTATAGTCAACCTGTGGAACTCCTTGTCAGAGGATGTTGTGAAGGTCAGGATTTTGAATTAAAAAAAGAATTAAAAAACGAGTTAGGTAAATTCATGGAAGCTAGGTCCATCGATGGCTGCTAGCCAGAAAGATCCAGAAAAAGAGTTCAGACATATAAAAATACAGCAACGGGTTTCAGAGAGTTAGTCATGTTAGTCTGTTTCAGCAAAAACAAGTTGATGTCACCTTTAAGACTAACAGTTTTATTAGGACATAAGTTTTTGTGAGTTCCAACTCACTTCCATCTGATGAAATGAGTCACAACTCATGAAAGCTAATGTCCTAATAAGTTGTTAGAAATATAATAATGATCCCAGAACTGAGAGAAATTGAAGAACTACATGGACCAACATCCAGGACCAAAAATCTAGCAGCTATCCCCACTAGCACTGTACACTACATATAAAATAACGAGATTTGTGGCACCAGGACTTCTCGCCTACATTAAACCATGCAAATGAACAATACAAGTGTTTTATATACATGGTGTTAGGGCAGGACAAGAGGGTAAGGAACCTTTCTGGAGCATGAACACATGTGCCTTGGGCATTCAGAGGCAGACTAGCTAGACAGCATATTGCTAACTTAAGTGGAGGGTGGGAGCGAAAGAGAAAGGGGGTTGGGGTTGTCCTCTCTCTCCAGGGTAGCCTGCATTCTGAACCCCTCATCCTCAGCCCCAGAGCAATGATTTAAATGAAGCATGGACATTTTCATTTTCTTTTCCATAAAATAAAATCGAGTGAAGGATCTGAGCAATGCCGGGTACATCTTCTAGTACTAATACAATGGATTGGTTAGGCGTATGATTTTTAAATAATAGAATTATACTGTAAGCTCTAGCTTGGATGTATTCTACTGGCACAGAGATGTCATTTTCTAGTATAGCTTATTTCATTTCCTGGGCAAGAATGAACTCTCTCACTAAGCACTTTTAGTGTAAGTGCAACCACAATAAAGGTGTTTTGACACTAACTAAACCAGAATAGTTAAAACAGCAAAACTTCCTAATGTAGACAAGCCTGAGAACAAGCCCTGCAGAGAGGAAAGCTTATGAGTTTAAGGTGCAACACATAGGACACAAATGTACCCATTTTCATAGTTACACGCATCACAAAAATGTAATAGTTATTATCAAAATACTCCCAGGTGTCAATTATAATGGCCCATTAATACATGCCTTGAGTGGTTCACAATGCTACTAAAATGTGTATTAATGAGCCACTAAAACACACCCTGTCATTTCTTGATGCTATATTATTCCATCATTTTGGTAATAAAATGCTCTTAAATCTGAATATACTATCAAGATGGAAGGAGATAAAACCACTGGTAAGGAAAAGGTTGAGAAATGCCAAGAAACTAACATAAAGTTTGGTGTTTAAATCTTAATATGAAACCAATCACAGGGGAATGGAATCTCATCTCAAGACTGGCTGAGCAGGACAGTCCTTTACTATAAGCCTGCCAGGCTTCCT